ATAATTTATAAATTATAATTATTCTTAAAATCTAAAAGTTGTGTTTTAGTTAGTTGTGATTCACCTCGTTAAACCCTCAGAGAATTCAGTCCTTTATAAAGTAGAAAAGTAGTGGAGTGGTTTTCTTTTTCAAAGAATGCTTTATTGTTGAAGCTAGTAAAGCCCAGAAATCATTTAGTAACCGTATAACATGAATATTAACATACTCTGCAGACTACATAGACAAACCATGACTTACAAGGTCTTTTCATTTGATGCTACAGTTGCAGCCAGAGCTGGTTTTATTTGTGGAAATGCTTCTAACGAATCTGAGTGGCTCCCAATGACGCAATATGTGTTTTCATTCAGGGTTAACAAGTTCATGGACCGTGAGGGGCGCAGGCCTCGCATACTCGTCGCAAAGATGGGGCAAGATGGCCATGACAGAGGAGCTAAGGTTATTGCGACAGGATTTGCAGACATTGGCTTTGACGTGGACATAGGCCCCCTCTTCCAGGTAGGGCTGAGTGAGAGGTGTCCGGTGCATTTCAAGGGCAGCAATCTTCCCTCTAACGCTGGCTCAGCTGCCAGGCTGGGGTTCTTCCCTCTCACGTAATCCTCTCTCCATAGACACCTCGAGAAGTGGCCCAGCAGGCGGTTGATGCGGATGTGCACTGTGTGGGTGTGAGCACACTTGCAGCAGGTCATAAAACTCTCGTGCCTGAACTCATCAAAGAGCTGAATGCGCTTGGCCGGCCAGACATTCTCGTCATCTGTGGAGGTGTCATCCCACCTCAGGTACGGATCAACATCATTTCCATCACGACGAGGTGACTGCTTTCTTCCTGCCTGTGCTGTTCTTAGCTATTTCCTGTATGCTGTTAATGTCAGAGGTGATCTACAGCGCTGAAGGCTACTGTGTACAATCACCAGGGTCAGCACAGATCTGCAGGATGGTCGCAGAGTGCTGTCAGGTCCCATTGATCTGGTTTTCTGTACACCGTGTCCTGGTTTAACTTACAGGGTTTCTGGCTGGAATATAAAGTTGTGTTGTGAAAAGACTAGCCCTGGGGAGATGTTCTTTATGCTCTGTTGTTTCTGATTACTGGTACCTTGCATATTACTGATACAGGCCAGCTCCCGTCCTAAGAGACTCTGTGACTTCAGATACTAGTTTGGAAGAGGCACAGCTAGTAACTAAGAGATGTGGCAGGTCCCAACACCTATAGGCTACACATCCCATTCACTGTTCAGCCTCTCCTCATGTTCCCCATTGTCAGGCCACAGCGTTGCCTCTCATTCCCCTTGCTTGACTCTTTCTCCTGAAGTGTTGAACAGTTTGTTGAATTCCCTTGCAGTCAGATCTGTGCTTTTGTCTTTAAATTTTCCTTAGTTCATCCACAGTGTGCCTGGCTGTATCACCTTTAGGAGATTCAAACTGATTTTGCATATAAATCTCCCGTTACTGTCTTTTCCCAGACTTCTTCCTTTTCTAGCCAATTAGGTGAGTGTTCAGGAATCACCGACTTCCAAATTGAACAAACAAAACTTGTAGTATTTTTCTAAGAGCCAAATTGTGTTCTGTCCAGTCTCTCAAGGGGATGCTAGTAGCCTGTGGTTGGAAATGGTACACATATCCTACACAGAGGTAAGAGAGACTACATAACTGCTTCCCGGGTCTTTTTGACATTCCAGGACAATCATAAAATAGAGTAACAGGTTTCAAGAGACCACTGGAAGTTATCTGGTCCAAGCCATTGTTTCCAGCAGTATTTTCAAAATTAGAAGTTAGCTTAAATTTAGATTAGGTTGTTTAGGGTCATATCCAGTTGACTTTTGAATATTTGGCAAGGATCTGACATTAGTCTGAATCTAAACAAATAACATCTTTCCTGTGGTTGTTTTTAAAATACTTCCTTTTTTCCTCCTACCTACCATTTTTTAACATTTCCCTTGATGCTGTGGTGCCTCTCTCTGGGATTGTTATCCATGTTTTCTTAGGCCCAACGTGCAGGACAGAGCACACACCAACTGTAAAGGTCAATTTTCTGTTGCACTATTAACTACAAATCTGAAATTTCCTTCTGAACAGGATTACGACTTCCTGTATGAAGCCGGAGTTTCCAGCGTGTTTGGTCCGGGGACTCGTATTCCAAAAGCAGCTGTCCAAGTGTTGGATGATATTGAGAAGTGCCTGGAGAAGAGGCAGCAATCCATGTAACGCCGAAATTTCACACAGCGCAACCAGCCTTACACTCGTGGCTTACAGAGTGATCATCAGCAAGGGATGGCCAGCCACACGCCTTTGGTTCCACTGCCCTGTGGCCTGGTGTTTTGTGCTTTCTGAGAAAGTTGTAAATTCTCTGCTTGCACTAGTTGAGGATTATTTATATACGTACCCACAAGAAGATTTTATCTCTAGAACTGTGACTTCAGGGAAGGAAGGCAAATCAGTAGGTGGGTCTGTTTTTTCAGATATATGGATAAATAAACTACCTGTTCCAGCTCTTTGGTTGATCTCTTTTGCGTGCAGATAACCTCTTTTGAATTTTTTGGCAGGCATTGTCGACCTAAAAGTCTTCAGGCAAAATCACTAAAGTTCAGCAGAGATGTGATTGAATGCAGCAGCACTTTGATGTTAATGTTAATCTGACTTAACTCTCTATAGAAATGTATAAGTAGATAAACCATAATTTTTCAAAATTTATGGTTTGTTTCATTAAAGAGACAAATCCTGTATCTGACAGTAACCCTTACAGGAGCAGCTGTGCACCTCCACTCTGCATCACTGCCCGCCCTTGGTACTTCACTGTTTCTCAAATTATGTTCATTCCATGCTCCTTCTCCCGTACTTAGTTCACTGTATTTGTCCAGTTACTGTTCTTGCTCTCCCTGTCTGTTTAGCAGCTGGACTGTCCTCAGGTAAATTGATCCTAAATTCTCAACGTTCTTGTCTCCCCTCCAGAAGGAATTGGATTTATACATGTGAAAAATCCTTTGTGGAATCCATACAATGCATATGAGGTGTGAGTGTCTTTTGAGGGACAGTCTCTGGGATTATGGCCCTATCCCACTTCATTTTCCCTTGCTGCTCAGGGCATTCCATCATAAAATGAGACTATTCTCAGAGGTTCAGCGTCATCGTGCTTCATTCAAAATGAGGTTTTCTGCAGTTGGTTGGAAATTGCAGACCCAATTAATAGCACTATATCCTCACTTCAAAGATTACAATTTATGAGATCTTCACTTAAATAACCTTCGTCAAGGGGTCGTGTTCCTATAGTCTTACACTGTTCAGAAACAAGGAGGTCAACTGACTTGCTGTTGTCTGTCTTTCTAATTAAGGTTTCAAGTATTGATCCCAAACCACACCTTTGCCTTTAAAACTCCTTGGGGGTTAATCCTCAACTATTTATAAATATCCGATTCCCTCTGAGAAGGATTGGTATGGTTCAAACCAGGGTATACAGACTTAATGTCTTATACTCCCTTAGTGTCTTTTCACAAGCCTGCTTGCCTGCCAACTGGAGAAATACCTAAGTGTTGGGGACTTCTAAACTTTATGATGACACTGGTTTCATTAATTTCATAGAATC